ACATTTGTGACAATTTAAAAATTAGTAAGTTAAAGAGAAACTGATAAAATGTCAAATGTTATAAGGTCATAAGAAAGTAATTCCTGTAATTTATATAAAATAGAAATGTTAGTTAGATGCATTCAATTTTATTTACTACAGTACTAGGACTTTCTTATATGTTGTAACATAGCTTCAGTATAATTTAAATACACCACAAATTCACACAACACACTTGACGAGGCTTGTCCGTACCTGTGATGGTATCCCTAGTGTGCAACCTGTATCCTTGAAGGGGAGACACAGAGGCTCAGGGGTCAACCTACAGTTGGTAGTTTGATCTTCCCTGATCTTCACACTCCCGGACACTAAAGCCAAACTGTGAGTGTGTCTCTGTGTCTGTTGTGAATGGAATGCAGCTTACATCAATAGGCTAAATTTAACCTGCCAAACACTCAAAACCACTCTCAAACACTATGAGGCAAGGATAGCTACCAGCGAGAGAGAGAGAGAGCGAGAAGATGGACAACACACTCATGCCCATGGATGTTCTTTAAGGCAGGGCTCCCCTCCAGAGACATATTTCCTTCGTTGTCTTGAATCTTCAATGTCAGCATGTCTCAGTGGGTTGATTTAACCTCAGAGGCTTCAATTGAGTTTGTCAATGCTAGGCACAGCTGCTACTTGTGTACTACTTTCTTCAGACTGAGTTGTGTTACTGTTTATTATGTGTGTTTACTGACGGCAGATAATGATCACTAAGGGGGGTTAAAGGGGAGTGTGGTGCCATCCCCGAGATGGTGGCAGGCCAAAAGGATTTTCATAAAGTACCATCAAGGTCATTACCCTGGCAGCTAAACCTGTTGTCATACTTTAGACATGACACTGAACATTTAATCACTTGCAAAAATAAAAATACTGCTGACACATCAGAAAAGTTCTTGACATAATCAAAAAGATAGTAACAAAATAAATGTCACATATAATCAGAGAATGAATCCAAATCAAAGTTAATCTGCACGAAAATTCCTTACTTTTTAAAGCATTATGTCACTGGACTTCATGCATACAAAAATACACATTAAAGACTGAAAGCATTTTTGTGTCTTTTAATTTTTCAGTATATGTTTTAAAAGTGCAAAAAATAAAATTTTCATCAAAAAATCATCAAACACTTTGTAAAAGCCCAAAACATTAAGCCTGATAGGCAAGAAACATGGGTACATCAGTGGCAGAATCTGTGGTTCACTTTAACCCCACACACAGTGTATGATCAAAGGTGGGACACTTCATAAATATGTGCATGCAACATATATTCCTCTTGACTTAAACATATAACCAACTGTATATAATAATAGAAAAAAACCTATATCCGTTTTGTAATCGCACATGTAGGTTGTCAGTTTCAAAGAAGGTCAATGTTAAGATCAAACCCTCCTAAAAATGCACTGCAGCATCCTTAGAGCAGATGCAGATGATAGTAGTATGATAGATAGATAGATAGATAGATAAACAGATTAATAGCAATGCTCACTCTTTGAATATACTTGGCATTGCCACTGCAATAGTAGAGAGAGAAAATACAAGAGAAAAAACAAGATGAGTAACATTTGTAATCGTTATCGCTGTATGAAATATTCAGTTGTGAAATCATTTGCATCACACCAAGTTGAAAAAGCCACAGTGAGTTTAGAGTTTTAAAGCTGCAGTAAAGTTACATGACGGAACAAAGCCACACATATGATTTCTTAAATTGCCTTATTTCTCACCAAATATTTATAACCATAGTTTGTTATAAATAAATTTGTCGAAATTAAAAGCATTTTCAGTGAGCAACACCAATCCACTTTTTAAACCAAGCAATGTATCAAACATTTCACTCATCTACAACCTTCAACACGTTCACTTTAGCTCTCATAACACTTTGCCAACACTTTTCTTGACTGCATGTGGTCCACTTCTGTCCTCAAAAACATAATTATTCTGAAATTATCATTTAAACACAGTTACAAAATTTCCCATCAATACTTAGCCGGTTAATACCTCATCAGCAACACAGCACAATAGATAGACAGTAAGTAGTAGTGCCCTTCAAACCAAGTGACCACTCGTACCATGAAGATAGTGACTTTGTGCGTCTGAAACCAATCACTCCCATTGACAATTCAAAATAAACGTAATCAATCATCTAAAATATGCTCAAGTCGGACCTATTGGATACATTTTAACCAACGCATGTCAACAACAACCTGATTTTTCATCACAATAGAGCAAACATATTCCATCTCTTTGGCCCAGATGTACATATTTGTCTTTCATATTCAGTATATTAAGTTATCATGTATGTCTGACAATCATGGTGGTCTTAACTTCTCTGGACTGGTATGCAAGGCCTGGAGCCTTAACCCATGTATCCAATACTGGCCCTACTGGCTGGCCTTAGAGGCTGGGCAGGTCTGAATGGAGGCCCATAGAAGGCTGGTTTCTCAGGTGAAAATGTCCTGCTCATGGACGGTGCCTGAAAAGCTGAAGCCACGTTATAATGACCCATACTGACAGCTGCAGGCTCAAGAGACACCCTGCGCTTCCACTCTTCTGGAGGCTCTGGCAGAGATCTGCGATGTCCTGCAGCTTTGACATTAGAGGCAACAGATAATGGGAGGCTCTGAAACATGAAGGCCTCATCCACTGAACCAATGGGGCTTTTGGATGCTGCCTCCCATGGTGATAGTGGCTTGTAGACTTTTTCTTGAAAGGATGTTTGCCTCTGTGTAGGTAAAAATGACGGCTGGATTCCTGGTGTGCTCACAGGTGACAAAAGTCCAGGAGAAGGCATCGAATTCAGTCGCTTGGGCAGACTCTGGGAGCGGCTTCTACCAAATCCCTGAAATAAAAGCACATATTAGTTGACTGGTGTGTTGCAGACTGTGCTGCCACCCTCTGGCTTCATGGAAGCCTGGAAAACTAATAATGTTCTAGTTTATTCATGTTTTTTAATGAAATGATTGAGATGAGATGATTTTAGAGAGCAAAGGGTTTTGAACAAATTAATAATAGTTTTGCTAAAACAGCTTTCCATTTTCATAGAGAAATTTGCCTTCACACAGACATTACAAGTATAAGGGACTCTTTATATGTAAAACAATACATTTATTCCATGTGAAAAATGTGACATGATGTGAACAAATTTGTCAAAAAGTCAAGTTTTCAGTAAAAGCTTATTTTAGCAGTCTGATAGCTTATATATGTCTCTATATGGTCACTTTTTACACATGGAATACATTATTATTTTGCATCCTAAAAACCCTATTTCCTTTTGATTTTTTTGCACAGTATGTGAGAAATCTTTCTGTGAAATAGGACTTGATTTTTGCTACACACACCTGATAATATCTAGCCTGGATTCAACAGCATAAACCCTTTCACAATTCTTTGTCAAAAATTCAGATTTGTAGCCCAACTATGGGATTGAGTTTTTCTATTAATCCCATAAAATGTTTGCCTGATATAAAGATATAGGTAGTCATTAACACATTTTAAAAATTAATACCTTACCTGCTGTCGGTTCCAGAAACTCAAAATAATAACAATGGCAATGTTACTACAATAAAGACATTTAAAAGATTATGAAACTTTGCTTGGAACTTTATCTGTGCCAACTTTGTTTCATCTGGTTAAAGGGGAAATCCACCCTAAACTATAACATTTGCAATGGCTCTGGACACCCATAAATGTGTTTTCCCTTATTCTGGCTGATTAGACCTCTGCTGAGTCTGAAGGTGAGCAGAGCAATGCATCACAGAACTTACTGTACCAATGGCCACTCCTCCAATCAGCCAAAAGACATGAAACCACCTGTGTGTGTTTACCATGTCTGTACAGGGCCTTTTAATATTCTAACTATATATGGAAATCTGACTCTGTACATCCTATTAAATTCTCCACCCCACTACCAAGGGTAGGTAACCTGTGGTTCTTTAGCCCTTCTCCAGTGGCCATGTGTAAATCAAGTTTGGTTAAACAATTAGAATTTTAAGGCTGAAATATATTGTGCGGCTCCAGAAAGAATTTTAATTCTTTTTTAAAATGGCTCTTTTGATCATAAAGGTTGTTGTCCCCTGCCCAATACCCACTGATTCTGATCAAGAAGAAGTATCAACTTTATTGTCACATACATAGAACAACATATAGGAGAAGTGGGCAGCCACTGTGCCCAGGGACTAAACTCCAGATCTAAAAATTAACCTAATATATTTGTTTTGATGCTGGGGGAGACTAGAGCAAGCAGAGGAAATCCACGCAAACATGGGGAGAACAGTGCAAACCACTGACTGTGCTGCCCAGACCTTGTACACCACTGTTTGAATTATCAGTATTAAGGGATACCTAACAACTAAACAAAGATTTTCTTTTCTTTTGAATATACTCAAAACGTAAGCAGAATCTGACCTTTCTTTAGATAGAATTAAAAAAATATATATAAATTTAAAAAATAAAAAAAACATAAAGAACTGCTTCTATAAATACAGGTAACATCTCTTTACTGTGATAGTTGATACTGACTTGCTGTCAAGAAATCATCAGAATAGAAAAATGGAAATTCAGTTTTAGGGTGGATTTCCCTCCAATATCAGCAACATCCTAAAAAAGTGTGGAGAAAATCTATTGAGGGCCAAGATCATAGTTCCAAACGTTTCATACATTCAGAGCTAAAGGTGGACTGCTGTGGAAACAAACAAGAAAATACAGTGCAATCATGTTGATAAAACCATATTGGTCAGTGACTGTGTTGACCTTCAGCAATTTATCATTTTATATTAATATGAACAATTAATTATTGGGAATGGCCAATGGATCTCAGAAAAACTTCAGATATTGCTGAAGGTAACAAAAATGAATACATTCTGTGTGAAGATTGTGAGGCAGCGAGAGAGATAAAGTAGGAATTATGGGTGACTCAAAAAGTAGTAACACAGTAGTTCAGGAAAAGAAGCTCATGACACACATAAGAAGTACACAAGTAGAAGGAAAGAGAAATTTAATAGCATGATTGTGCTGAGTACAAGAAGTGCAATAAACAATGATATGTTTGGAAGACAGAGACATAGAGACAAAGAAGACAATTGTTTCCTATTTTCATTTTGAGTTGTTACTGGTAATGTGAATCAATAGCGGAATAGTCAAATCTCTGCGATAACTTGCTCGTTTTACATCAAGGATGAGTACAGAACTTCTGATGACTTTCTTGACAGTTAACTGGCCACGGCTCACAATTGAATAAATCCACATAAAAACATTTAAAGTCATTAGGGTTAATTATCACAACTAACAGTAATGCTTTTAGCTGTTGTGATACCATAAAAGTTTGGAATGATTGCAAATTGTATGCATCCAAAAAAAGAAGTGCATTGACAGTTTCTCCCCAGACACACTAACAATAGTCTGTAAATATAATGCTAAAAGTGAGTTACTGTTATCCCAGTATATTTTATATAAACTTAAATTTAAATCTCATAAATAAATGTGTTAATAAATGTTATTGTGTGTAGTTGTTGGGGTCAGTGGTGACATAAAAATGCACATCATGCATGTAATCTTATTTCTTATAAAAGAAAAACATCAAACTAGAGACCTTAGTTGAAGGCACACATTATTGCACTAATAGCACTTCCTGAGAATCACTCAACATTATTAAGTCTCACATTCCCTTTTTCAAGCACACATGCTTATGCATATTTTAGTTTATATTCCATTGATTTACAATTTTAACCTATCTTTGCTGTACATTCAACTGCCCTCTCATGTGTTCATTACATTGCCAGCTAAATATATTCGTATAGCTGCATACTGTAAATTATTTTGGATGCGCCCTACATTTAGATGTGCAAACGTCCTTACATTTCCACCTATTAAGTAAGACATTTTAGATGCTACCAAGTTGCAGATGTAATTGTGTTCTATCATCTTAGTGTTGACTTCACCAAAGCAGGACCATATACAGTATTAGAACTAATGAAGCATAGCAACAGGCCTCCACTGTGTGCCTGTCACCACTGGCTTCTTAGCAGAAAATTTTGGCCGAGGTGCCATTTGACGTGCGCCTCTAGCAATAAGAGATGCAGGAGAAAAAGCTGAAGCTATGCTGTCACCAGTAGATGACTGCTGGGAGGATGCGCTTGCGGGTCGGGCGCTTGGTGCTTGCTTTTTGGTTATGTGATGAGCTGCAGGAGTGACAGTGTGCTTTTCATCCAAGCGCTTGTCAGCTGTGCGAGGCTCAGCTGATCTTGTGCTTTGGCGGGCAGAAGAATTTTGGGAACTTACCGATACAGGAGACTTAGCAGGGACTTCTGCCTTGCTTTGAACAGCAAGCTCAGGGACATTATAAGTAGAATGAGAAGGGACAGACCTATGTTTAAGGCTTTTGGTGGCCTCAAACTTTGATGCTGGAGTTGGTTTGGGTTTGGGTTTGGGGCTGGGGCTGGGGCTGGGGTTTTTGGCCTCAGGGACTGCATCATACTTGAACAGTGACGAGTCCAACTGATATGGCTGGTGTTTCATAATATCTAAGGCGTCGAGGTGCTTTGGGGCTGCTTTAGGTTTCTCTTTGGTCTTAGGCTTGATTTTGGGGCTTGTGGAAGGGGGTTGCTTGGTTGCTGATGGAGGGTAGAAAGGAGCAAGAAGGGGATTGTATGATAAAGGAGGTGGGGCACGGACATTGGAAGAATACCTCCAATAGGTAGGGAGGGACGAGGTTGGGGAGGGGGATCTTGTTTTGTTAGCTTGCACTGTTTCAGCATCAATAACAAACTTCTCCATACGGGACTGTCTTTTGGCAAACAACTCTGCACCTTTTCCAGCCATAGTTGAACCAGCTTGATTATTACCTTTGTCTGAGACTCGACCCTTTGGAGAAGCCTGTGATGCTTTTGATGCATGGACGTATGACTTCCCTGCTTGTGGTGGGCAAGAGGTAACTGACTGTGGAGCACTGTCTGACTTATTCCTTGAGGGTGAAGGTGGGTGATGTGGGCTGTAAGTAGGACTGCGGGCTTGCATACTCACAGGGGATCGTGGCGGCTGTTGAGTCCAGCTATTTGTGGTTGGCTGAAGATGAAGCTGAGAAGAGGAATTGATCGGACCCCAGGCACTGGCAGGTGTTTGAAGTGTTGCCTGAGTTTGATCTGGTGCCCAATGGTTAGCCATCTGTTGAGACTGAGCCCAATCTTGCTGCTGTAAGTAATGCTGACTATGAGGCCCCACAGGACTGTGAGAAGGTTGTGAAACAGGACTTCTTGGTGGATTATAGGGCTCAACAGAGGGGCTTCTCCTCATCCAAGGTGGACAGGTTGGGTTGATGGTAGGTTTTGGGGCAACTGGAGGGGGATTCTTGAGTTTTATTGTCCTGGGTTGCATGAAGTTACAAGCTTCAGCACCTAGACTAAAACAGTCTTCCTCTGACTCAATATAAGACTTCCTTTCCCCTTTGTTTTGAAGGTGAAGATCTTGCGTCAGCATGGATGCCTGTTTATTAGTTACTTTCCGTTTTGACTCTGGTAGGATGCCAGTCTTGATTGCTGGCACAGATATTCGCTCATCTCTTGAGGCTATGATGTCTCCAGTTGGGGACCAAACCTGTGGGTTAGTATTAATAGGCACAGGTACTCTGAATCTCAGTTCATGCTTCTTTGTCGCTGGAACCACGCCAACAGGCATGACAGGAGGAGTTGAGCTTTTTTGAAATCCTAGGAAAGGCTTTGCAGTTCTGTTTGGCACCAAGGGTTTTGAGACATTGGATAGGTGGTTCATCTGCTCGATATTTTCTTGGTATTCTACATGCTGTTTGAGATTTTCATCCAGGTAGTTGGCCTGATCAGTATGCATATACATTTCCTTAGTGTCATAAATATTCTGTGCCTCTGCACGTCCAGATTCTGTTAATGTCTCCACAGGTATTCCTTTACTCCTCAGCTCTTCATGCTCTGACACAATCTCATCCATCCGTTTGCGCCGTTGGGCAAACATCAAAACACCTTTTCCTTTTGTGTCTGGTAGCGCTTCCATTTCTCGAACACTTCCCCAATTCAGACTCAAATTTTGCTGCTGGTGATGAACAGAATACTCCTCCTCGAACTCAGATTCACTTGTTGCCACAAAGTTATAACCAGCCGATCTGACTTCTTCAATTTCCTCCTCTATTTGGTCTTCACTGTCAAGCTTGTTGTCACCAGTCCCGTAACTCACAAGTGTATACTTCTTGACCCTTTGGCGGCGTTTTTTAAACAGCAAGGCTCCCTTATTTTGAGGGTTGGGTGCATCAGTTAGAAGCCGAGCAATTCGCTTACATTTAGACTTGTTCTCCTTGACCTGTTTTTCTGATTGGCTCTCGTTGTGACTGAGCCCTGAGACAAAGGAAGGGGGGGGGGGAGAGAGAAAGGAGAGGTGAAATAGAAGAAAACATTAAAAAATCTGCCATTTAACAATAAATGTTTAAACATTATTTTAATTTGATATTTTGTCCGTCAGTGGCAATTTAATAAGCTATCGTATTTGATTAATCCCTCAGCAAAGTCATCTAACTTAAGGACCATAAGAAATTACATTTTGCTTAATATTTAGGGTTTTTGTTTGATATAGTACTTTGGTATTCTGTGATCTCTGTCTGCAGATGACCATAATAATAATAATAATAATTATTATTATTATTATTATTATTATTTGAAGCAAGCACACTAATGATAAGTAAGAGAAATGTTGGAGTTGCCCCTGCTGAAGCAAGCACACTAATAAAAGCATCATATTTACTTACAGCTAACTTGGGTGGGGTCCATGGGGCAAGGAAAGTGATCAGCTCACTTTCCATTGCAGTCAAGTCTTACGATTGGAAAAGAGATCGGATAACAGACCAGGGTGACACATGTTGGTGTCTGTCAAATTTGTTTCTGCCAGCCTCATCATATGGTCATATTTTATTCTTATCCTGCTCTGACTATTAAAGCCATGGGAATTCTCCCTGTAAGTCCTCCTCAAATAGACATCACGTTACAGCATGAAAATAACCATCACCCATAATGCTTTGCACAAGTTATTTATCTATTAAATGAAGTCTTGGTTTAAATAACACCTATAATAATTGCAGGCAGAACATATATTACACCTATAATAATTGCAGGCATAAATAACATAATTGAAGGACATTATCAAAAGTTAATTCGTGCTTTAGGCTGCAAGGCAAAGCAAACACAAAATTCTATCTATGGATTCATACTATATTATACTCAATATAAATTTAGAAAAACAACTTTTAGTATATTCTATACAGTTTGCACTACCAGCTTCATATGTCCACTGGAATATAACAAGTAAGGGAGGGTAGAAGATATATACTTACGTGTGTACCTTGCCCTGTGCCTGTCCGGTCTGCACAGATCTGTGTCAGACTCCGAGTTCCACTTCTCTGCCTGCTCAGCAACCTCATCTGAAATTCCAAAGACCGAAGCAGGAGGTGCTTCACTACTCCCTCCTTCCTCTGAGGATTCAACCCTCCTATTCCCAGTCCCTGGGCCCTGTCTATTACTGGCTCCCAGTGGTTGTTCTGTGCTCAGGGTCAAGGCCAGGGTCATGTCAGCAGTACAGCCCAGAGAGGAGGAAGATGACTGGGAATGCGGCCGGGATATCTGGCCAGTGCGAAGCTCATAATCAGGGTGTCTTGGGTGCGGAGACAGTGATGTTGGTGAGGTCTGGTTGTGAGGAGATTCTGTAATGGACTCTCTTGATTCACTAAGGTAGATGTCATCCTCTTCTTGGTATGAGACATCCTCTTCACTTACACTTAGTTCAGGCAGGGACTGTTGCTCACCTGCAGATTCCCAGTCATGTGATTGAAGACGTTCTGGGGACTCAATGTCGGACTTTGGGATATGAGCAGGTTGAGGATCTAAAGGGTATTCTGCATCACTGGCATCATCTTCATAGTAGGACTCTGCCAAGGACTCCGAGGCACAAAGTTCTTGGGAACCATCTGAACCTGACCCAGGGGCCAAGTTATCATTGTTGTCTGGGTCTTCAGCTTCTGGTTCCATCTCTAATGCTGTTTCACAGTGTCCTGGATATCACCAATAATACCTTAATGGAGACAAAAACAAACGGTTTAAGGCCAACAAGCCCTTTGCATTTATGGGTGGACCTTTTAGCCAATTTCAATATTGCATGTAATCTATATAAAATACCAAATTCTAACAATTATGATTACAACTCATGTTGGTTTATGTGTTTACTGTTCAGTTCAAGAGATTTCAGCATTAGCACACTTTGTAATATTTCTAACTAGCATGTAATTGTATAAGATATTCCTATCCCCAATAGGAAGTGCAGCTTTGCTTTGGCAGTTGCATCGGGTCTGCCATCGCTCTAAATGGAATGGTATGTAATATCAAGGGGGAAACAGCATTCACATCCAAGACCATAAGCAAAACAATTGGGTGGCTGTTTTCCGAACTCCTGTTTATACAGTGAGGTTTCTTTCCCTCCTCTGTTCTCATCTATCACTGCAAAAAATATAAGCACTGCAAAGGCAGTCAGCATTTCCATTTAAGAACTAAATCTGAGAGACTATTTGTTTTAAACATTGTAGAAATACTAGGCCTCCTTACTCAAAGCCAGTGTTTGTTTGGTTGCAGAGGTTAGATTATATCAACAGTTGATTTATCAAATAGGCTACCAAATTATTCTCTTGATTTATTATGTAACCAATTATTGTATCAAAATTACTTATAGAACATTTTATATATTTTTTGCATTAGATTAGATTATCTAATGCAAAACAGCTGTCAACATTTTTTCATCCAATTCATTATTTTAGCAAAAACTAACATCAAATTCAGCTATTTGGACTTTTGGGTTAGATATGAATGTGAACATGAAATTATGTCATAACCTAATATGAAACTTTGAAATTCAATAGCGAAATCCTTTTGAAACTGTGCATAGTAGTGCAGACACAATGTTAATCAATAGACTAGGGTTCATAACAAATGTCATTTCAGCAAACACAACCTTTCCTGACATCCACCACAAGATGGTGCCATAACATTGTAGACCAACATGAGTACACTAGTTCATCAGTTCCTCACATGGCAGTTTGATCAAAGTCTAAAAGCTACTGAGGGTCAGAGAAACTTTTTGAAGATTAAATCTGTTTGCAGTATGTCACTGTGAAGAACAGATGAATTCCACAGTTTCAAACACTCAATCATAAGACTTTTGCTGAGGCAATCGCAGGGGTAACTTTTTTTCTACACTGTCGTAAACAAACACACAATCAAAAGATTCAATGGGCAGATTTGTTGAGGAAATAAACAACCACAAACTGCTTTTCTTCTGGGCTCAGGACCATGCCTAGCTTTGTCTTATCATCACAAATATCATCTCACTAAAGGCACTTTAATATATACCGTATGCCTACATTCAGTCCACAAAACAGTCAACAGCACTCAAAGCCTAAAGCCATGCAGTCAGCATGTACTTGTTGCAAAGAACAAACTAATGATTTTGCTATTATTAGATCTTTAAAAATAGTTTGGTTAAAAGGGTTGAGAGTTTTGTCCTGGCGGTGGTGCTACAGGAAAGGCAGTTTACAGCCATTCAAATCAAAAGAGTTTTTGCCATTGGGAGCTTGAACGAGTACAGTAAATGTAATATCAATCTAGTAGTTTCTAAAGTAAAGTAAAGGTCAGATTATCAAATACGTTAGGATTAATTCCTCCATTGTGGATCATCACAGTCAAGTGAAAAACAGACTTACACCATCCTTAGTCCAAAACCACTGGCAGAAAAATTCCTTTACATTATTTCACATCGAGTATCTGTATTTTACAAATTTA